AATCTTTTTGCCGGGAGAACCAGCCATACCGGGAACATATAATTTTATACCTGAAAGAGAGAAATCATTGAACTAATGCCAAAATTTAAAAGAAACGAGATGTCAAAATATCGTATATGATTCCCATCAAATTATTTCATTTCATTATATTAGCGAATCAAATTTTCGTATATCGCTGTCAGAAAGCCAATTTAATTTTAACAGACTGATTTGAATTGTCAACTTCAAGGAGAGGACCGACAATAAACCATGGCTCACATATAATTTATATCACTTGATACAAACGATTTTTCAGGGTGTCTACGGGTTTGTACTGCTTATTGGGCAGATGTGAATCACTAAACTAAAACAATAAAATGCCTATTATTCCTACATATCTTATAAAACATAACGGCATTGATACATTTACTATTTTCAATAATATTCTCACCTGTATTGTTTATTTTCTAGGCTCAACGCCGTCTCGACGTCGTCTATTTATCAGGTCACATCAAAATTACGATATACGAGATTTTAATTGGAAAAAATAATCAACCAATTATTTTACGAGATTATGTCACATGTCCTGAACGGAACTTCTAATTGGACTAGAAGTACGAAAATAAGATACATAGATGCGGCTCGGAGGGAAGATTTTCGACGTTCAGAAAAGTTATATACGAGATTTTGGCGATATACGAGATTTTGAAAGCGCATCGACGATATGATTCTCTCATTGAAACATCAACCAACAATAATAATTAACGATGTTTCTGATGACATTTCGTCATGGAGAAAAAAGGAGACCAGGAATGTTTAGTGTAGTAGAGGCAACATAAGAAAATATTTCTTTGACAACAGATGGGAAACTAAACCTGAACATGGAATTTTTAAACGATTTGTTATTAGTGACACAATCTGATTCACCTAACACCAACCCTGTAACAAATACTGACAACCATTACATGTTGGCTGAGAGGGTTGATAAATAAGACCTGAGAGCAACTTTTTGCAGAAATCGATGAGAACCTTTATTTCATGAATGAGATCAAGCCAGAAAATCATCTTTTTACGCTGCGTCTATTACATGACTTCCGGAACGAAAATAACAATAAAATATTAATGAACAAAATGAAAAATGTTATTCTTCAAGGCATGCAAGTCACAATGGACATAGACAACCGGTTCAAAATCAGTCAAGTTAACGCATCAGAAACAAATGTACATGGAGAACAGCCTCAATATAATTTAGAAGGGAGGGCACGCTAAAATTTTCACCATTCACTAGCCTCTAGTTTTGTGCTAATTTTGTTCGAATCTGCAAAATGGGCCAATATTGATGGGGTTTTTCCTTTTTATAAACGAATCTATGACAGTATTTCATTTTCTAAGTGAAGATTAAGAATGCAGATTTGTAGATGAATATGTCCGTATAATTATTTATATTTTCAGTGTACAGAGACATATATAATACATACAATAACTGTAAGTATAATATAAGTAAATATTTAGCGATGAATGGTTATGGAATGGGTCAAAGTTTGGAAAAAGGTGCATGTATTTGATTTTAAAAAAACTGTAAGTTAGAAGGCCATAGTTCGCCATTTTCTCTGGTTGAATATAAGTAAAAAGTTTTCAGTGCAACTAAAACTGCAATGAAATCACTGATATCATTTTTCATACAGGCCAATATTAAAACTGTTTTCCCAACATTAGCCTGCTTATTTACGTCTGCACTAAGATTGAGTAAAATATAAATACATGCAAGGTTTTCAAAGGCACATACATTTTTCACTACTGAATTGACATTCATCATATTTAATTTTTCTTTTATCAAAGTAAATCCTATGACACAAAGGTGGAGTGCTGTATGACCCTGGTGGTTTTGTCTATTGACGTCACAGGGTAAAGCAGCTAAAACCTAAATAAAGGGTAAGTTATTTAAAAGTGATGCCACCAACAACGGTGAATTTCCAGTAATATTTATAAGATTAAAATCTAATCCATAATATAACAAAAAACTATTATCTCTATATAAATAATCCATATAAAACTGAGCTAAAAGATGGACTATATTTTCACCTGATGATGTTAAAGAATTGATATGAGACCATTCTGAATAAAAAAAAAGATTATCGACATGATTAGTTAAAACATCAACATTATGTTCGATTAAATAATTAATTAATTTTAAATTCTGACATTGTGCTAGTATATGTAGAGAAAGTAAACCACCATTAGTCGAGAACGGTGAATACCCCTTTTGATTTTTCATATTGAGCACTTTCAGTTAAACCCTTTATAATGTTTATATTACCATACCATACAGCGTGAAATAAGGGTATTTTACCTTCACTGTCCTTTGTATAGACATTACACTCAGGTCGCTCTAATAAGCACC